GACTTCTGGAGGACATAGGGACCCCCATTTTCATCATTCTGCATCATTCTCTCACTGTCCCCCAGACATCCACGGTTATATTGTTTATATTTATATTTTTTTTACAACAAAGCAGAGTGTGTATGACGTCATCCGTCCCCATGAGGATAGAGGGACATAACATGAGTTATGATAAGTATCACTCACGTTTTATGTCACAGGTTAAGGTCTGACTCTGTGAAATAGGTGAGGAAAAGGCTCATTTGGGAGAGAGAGCGACCCTCTGCCCTGGGCTGAGTTGTCCAGCCATTTGTGGCAGATGTTGCACTGCACTCCAAAGCTGCGAAGTCATCTTCCCACTGCAAGCCTGAAGAGAAAAAAACATCCACAGTTACTATCTGTAGCTTTTTTTTTTTTTTACGTTAAAGCTTACCTTTCTTACTTAGGTGCCTCACTTACTGTAGCTTCCCTGCTTCGACAATGCTTCAGCTGTTCTGTATCTCATCTGATTAGTTCACCTGGTTCCTTTACAGTTTTTCCTCCCTGCGTCATTACCTAAGGTCACTGTTCCCCGATCGATTCTGTTATACTGCTTGCACCTCAGTCTTTGTTCTACTTGGTTTTTTATCCTGTTGAAGAATTTAAAAGGTTTCTATTCTATTTTCATCAAAGCGTTCACAATCCTCCTTTTCAGTTACTCATTTAAATATTTATAATCTCCAAATCTGTTATGTTGGATTGCAATTACACTGATTAGAAAACTAAGTCTCTTTCATCTGTTCCAGAAAAACTGGGGTTAATATTTTATACATTTCTATTTTTAATTCTTAACTCTAGTAGAGGTTTATGTGATACGTTATAAACCTTCCCAGTTGATGCGCAAGAGGAAATATTATCTGATTCTGATTGCAGAGAAGATGCCATCAGATGTTATTCATCATCGACAGCTGTCGATATTAGTGACAAGGAGTTGTCATATTCCTTTGCTATGTTGCCTTTGCTGTTTCTTAGTGTGAGCTAGCACTGGCTTTCCTGAGAACACTTAATTAGCAAGTATTTCATATTGTAGCCTCTCAGGTCCCAGTTCCTTTTTTTTTGGAACTGCTGTTTCCTTTAATAGCGAGGTTATACCCTCTGTTTTTTTGTTTTTTTTTTGGATGGACAGGATTGGGGGGGGGGTTGTAGGCCCTGTCGGCCCTGTGTCACACCCCTGTTCTCCGGCTGCCACCTGGAGTTTGGGGCCTGGAGGAAGAGGGAGCCGCCTGGTTCGTGGTCTTGGCGGGGGGCTGCTGCAGGGCCTTGGTGGTCTGCCTGTGGCGGGGCTGTCACCTCTGCTCTCCCCAAAGAAGGTTGGATGGAGGGGCGTGTAGTGGCTGGTTGAACTAGTTGGGGGGGGCTCTGGTTGGGTGGCCTGCGCAGGGCAGGCGGGCCCCAATCCTGGGGGAGCTTTTGCCGGGGCTAGTCGGGTCAGGTGCCCCTGGGGCCTCGGTTCCCTGGGGCCCAGGGCCGGATTCACTTCAGGGTGACTGGCTGCTAGCGGAGCCCACAGACTCGTCCCCGCGGCTCCCCGGGGCTCCGGCATTGCGGTGGCTGGGTGACTTCCTCGGGGCTGTCTCGCCTCCTCCCTAGGTGGGGATCTGATTTCTGGGGCTGGCCCCTCCTTGGTGCCTTTGCTCTTGAAATCCCTCTGGGCGTCTGGGGCTTTGGGTATCCGGGCGCTGGACTTACTGCTCTAAGGGGGAGCGCCTCTCCAGCTCTCCACAACCACTATTGAGCATTTTTTCTATGGATCAACTTTACATGCGCAAGTGTACCCTCACAAACAATTACAGGTACTTGGCTCCAGGTACTCAGAGATTCACTTCCACACAGAAACCCCACATTCTCATCTTCAGGTAACACAGAGTACATGTCAGATTAAATTATAGTACTT